TACAAGTAACCTCCTCTTCCTCAGACTGCTGGAAGGTTACCTTCTTGCTTCTCCTACGTGTAGGCTTCCTCTTCTTCTTCTTTGGACTCTTCTCTAAGGTTGAGCCGCCTTGGCTCAGTCCATCAAATTTAGAGTTGGATCTACTCGGCCTGCTCTGGAGTTCTCGAAGCTCTTCATCGAACACCTCTGGTTCAGAAAAACACATCTGCTGGGAGCCATAGTTGATCACAGCTCTACTAGCTACGAGGAAATCCGTTCCCAAGATTCCAGCTGTGTTAATATCAGCAATCACCATCTCTATCAACGTTCTTCTCCCCTCTAATACCACTTCAATGGGACAAGAACCATACGTCGCGACAGGGGAACCATCAGCTTGCACTACAACATCCATCACAGGTTTTAACTTCGGTCGAATTTGGTGTGGAATCCTGTTGAAGCTGTCCAGACTCATAAGAGAAACTGTAGCTCCACTATCTACCAGGAATTCAGTTGCTACACCACAGATTCTGGCCTTAGCTACCATCCTCCTCACTGTTTGTGCCTTACGCAAGTTGTCAACACTAAGTCTATCCAGGTTAAGGAATCTTATTGGTCGAATTGGAGAGTTGCAATTGCTCCCTGGAAGTCTTCTTTGCTCCTCCTCCTCGAGCTTCCGTCGTGGCTTTGGGCACTCATAAGACATGTGTCCTCTCCCAGAACAATTAAAGCATGTCACCAATGGGCATATCCTCCTCACATGTCCCTCTTCGCCACAGTTCCTACATGTAAAGGTCCGAGGAGCTTGGAGTTCTCTTTTCCCCTTGAAGAGCTTCAAAGCCTCCTCCATCTCCTTCTTTATCTCTGTGAGGGATTCTCTCATGTGCTCCTTTAACTCTTCTTGCAGACCTTGCATCATAGTGAGCAACTTCTCCTCTTCATCCACTGTAACACTGGCAACAGCAACTACATGTCTCGGCTTCTGGCCTTTTCTGATCCTCTCTGACTCCTGATAGGCCTCTTCCTTCTGGGCTTCTTCAATTGCCTGGTCAAGAGATTTTGGATCCCTATGATGGACTTCGGCTCGCACTTCATCATCGGTGATAGCGTTTTCGAAGCTCCGTCTTGCCAATCTGTCCTGAGAAGAACGAGGCATCTCTGGAAAGGCCAAGGCAGCTAGCCTCCTTATACTCTGTCCCAAACTCTGTAAGGACTCTTTAGGCTTCCGGACTCCTGTATTAAGCTCTGCTTCATACATAGAGGCTTTGTCCCCTGGTCCAAATCTTTTTGTTAAGGCCTCTAAAAGATCACCATAAGTGTGTCCTTCTTCTAGCTCTTGGACCAGTTGCTGAGCATCACCCCTCAATTGGTTCATGAGATTCTGCCTCTTCTCCTCGTCATTCCATCTATTGCTTTCAATACAATTCTGGAAGTGGGCTTTGTAGTCAAGCCAGGGAGTTTTGCCATCAAATAGTTGGGTTGGCTTGATTTTAGTCTGCCTTCCCTCCTTCATGGAATCTAAAGCCTTCCCACACATCTCCATGGCTTTCTCTGTTATCTTCAGCATGGCTTGTTGTTCATGGCTACCATTGGAACTATCTCTCCTCTTCTCAGTAGTTGGCTGCAGCCCAGAATCCTCATGAGGAGCTTCTACTCCCGTCGTGGTCGAAGTTGGCCTTTGGAACTTCTGAGCACTTGTTGCTCCATCAACATCATACTGAGATCTGGGGAAGTGCGCGTGTTCCTCTTCCTTCAAATGAGGAGCTAGATTTGCTCCTCCATTAACCTTCTTTGGAATTACTTCAGGCTTGTTCACAGGAATGGAGTTAGGACTACTGACCTCCATTGTAGATGGGTTTATCAAGCGAGGAGCTGGTGGAGGAGATTTTGTAAGCTGCATCAGCGTAGCATTCAGGTCCCTACACAAGTTCTCCATCCCCTCTCTGCTCATCCGAGCTTCTTCCTGACCTCGACTCATCACATCTGTCAGCTTACCCATATCAGCATGGAGGGTTGCCATCTCC